AGAAAAAACACTGCAGTAGCCTATAAGAAGCTCCATTTTTCAACAGATGTGTGAAGCTCCATAATAAGTTCATTACAAAAAGGCCAAGTGAACTCATAAAGAGAGCACATCTACTTTAAGCCTTCTTAAAAGAAACTTTCATAAAAGGAATAGAGCATTAAAAGCCCACAGCACTCCGTTAATTAGAGAGCAAAGTACTACTTGGCTTTTTAACCAGCAGTCACCTTATAATCCAGCTTGGCTGCATACCATATCAAGCCTTGATTGTTAAGAAGCCCAACACACAACTGTGTTTGGCAATTCTTTGATTGCTCATTAAACACAACTTGTAAAGAATGGAAAAATATCAGAGGAATTTCAGCAGTTCCCAGAAAAGATTCTATCAATGAATCCAGTGCAGACAGGCTCCTCACTGAGGGCTAAATGTGACTGTCAGTGCTCCTCTCTGCTCTGGCTTCTCCAGCTTAAATGAACAAGACAGAGAAGCCTGACTTACTCTGGAGTTTCCACAGCCCATGAATTTTTATCTAAAATTAGTTGGCTACTCCTTCTCATTGTACTTGTATTAAAGAAATTATGAACATCATGCCAGATGTTATTAAAGAAATGAACAACATCACATTAATGTAAGGCAGAGAGGCTGGGCACAACCTGTGACTGGCAAAACCACCGGTGCTACCTGGGGCTGCCCACACTGTATTTCAGAGTGCTGTGTTACAAACACTCATCTGCTTGGCTGAAACACAAATCCACAAGGCCAAAGTGCTTTCAGCCACTGTAAAACATAACCCAGGATGTTCCTCACCACCTAAAATCTTTTTGAGACTGACTGCCTTGGCACTGAGTGGCACTTTCACAACCCTTCTGCACTCCAGGTTCGCTTTGGGCCTGATTTGCAACCAGTCCTGTTTTGTGACCCACTCACTTTTCAGCTCACCAGTATCTGTGTTCAGTCTTTCATTTTTAAAAGCAGACAGTAATTGCAAGCAACAGAAGAGATACTTAAGTCTGACTTCCAGGCATGATGGGGTTTTATTCTTTCAACATGGCTTGCACTGGGGAGTGAATGAAAAGAAAATGGCATTTCAAGACAATATGTATTGAGTACACCTAAGAACTGTCCAGCAGCTCTGGGAGATGAACACACACATCAAAGAGATTATTTGTTCCCCACACACAGTCAGACTTACCCTTTTTACTCTCTGAGCAGCACCACAGTTCCTTCCCACTGTAGCAGCTTTTGCAGAATTCCCTGCAATTTGCACCCTTGGAGAGGGGTATCTCACTGATGGCAGGACAGGGATGCTGCCAGAAGCTGCTTCTCAACAGGGCTCCACCACGAGCTTTTCAGGCTTAACCCCCACAGCAGCACTCAGCTGGCTCTGCAGCACAAACTGCCTGCGGTTCTCATGGCAAATGGGAACTATTTGTCTCACTTCACAAAGGCTAAGGAACAACTCAGAGTCAGCAGAAAATAGCACCCTTATTACAAGACTATGCATCACAAGCTGTGCCTATATTTAACAGAGCTGTACTAAAAATTTTGTATTCAATTTGGCCACTTAACTGAAAAACAAAGTGGATTTGGTCCAAACAAAAGTGAGGGGGTTTTATTTTTCCTTGAATGTTTTCTTCTGTTTGCTGCCAGGGCATTTACTTTAGAAGCCAATCACACATCCAGGGGAAGAATTATGAAAAAGGGTAACATTTCCCTTATGTCCAACAATGGAAGAGCATTTCCAGGAATCAAGCAAACAGATTTGTATCCTGTTTTGAAGTTCAGCTCTGTGTTTCCCCCTTTCCAAACTCTACCATAATTGGAACAAGTCACTCCTGTGCTCCACTTCCCTTGAATTCTGCCATGCAAAGCACAATGAGAGCACCCTAGGAGTGAGGAAAACCTCCATGGAGTGGAGTGTAGCAGGCTGCTTTGGTATTTTACCAAGGGGATGACTGGAAGACACTGAACCTGTGTTTTCCACATTTCAGGCAAAAATGTAGTTTAAACCACTTGGTGAATTCACATGAATTCTCACCTTAGGCAACTCAAGACACACTTCACATATATTGGCACAGAAAGATGACTCTAAATCTAAGATGACTTAGAAATCTAAATGTGATTTCAAAGTATTAAAACAAAGCCACACTACAAAAACCATTCTCTGCAGGGCCCTGGTGATTCAACATTTAAAAGGTCTTCTTAAAGGATGGAAGTCACACAAAGCAAGAAAATCTCTTTTCACAGCTCCTAACCACCCTGTGCATGGAAAAAGCTGAGTACAGCAGGCTGTATCTTACAGGCCTCCACAGCTCTGCTCCAGCTTCAGATCTCAAATCTGAAGCCAAACTTCCCTCAGCTGCACACAGCTCTTTGAGAGTCACAGCCTAACAAAGATCAGCTGTGGCTGATTCATTTGGGTGCCTGCAGGGAGCAAGAGGAGCTTTGTCATATACAATACTTGAGACTTGTGAAGAGAAGCAAGTGGTGCTGACTGGCACAGCTACATGGGGAAGCAGGCATTGGCACTATTAAAAAGAAAAAGCTAATTAAAATGGAAACCAAGACTTAAGCAGAGTTTCTCATGTCCATGCTTTCAACAGCAACCTCAACACTCTGGAGTGTGATGGAAAGAAAGATGTTCCTTCTCCATTACACCCATGGCATATTTATTCCTCTCCTGAGAGCTCAGTTGGAGCCAGTTCATCCCCACTGTTCAGCCTCCACCTCCATTTAGAGCCTTCCTGCTCCCACACAATTCAGTGTCCCTTGGGAAAGCAGAGCATCTTCCAGAACTGCAGGCTGCATTCACCTCCATGCTCAGCCCTAAACCCCTAACAAACAAATCCTTTAATTCTTTGCAATCTCAACTCTCCCCTTAAACACCTATTACACTTAATTTGTACCCATCTCAAACCCAGTGCTAAAAACTCAGAGGCCCAGCATGCATAAATGCTAAATTTCAGGAGGTTGAGTCAGCACACTTGACCTCTTGGCATTAAGAGTTGTACAAGGACTTGTCAACAGCTGTTGTGCTGTGTTAGCACTTGGAGATGACCTGCAAATGTAAACTGAAGGGTACTGACTTGAATAATGTGTGTTTAATACCCAAATAACCTGTATAAATGGGGCATCTGGCACATGGCAGTTTTATTATTGAGATTGCAGACTTCTCTCAGACAGGATATGGCAAGTGATGCAATTGAGAATTGTTAGAATCACCATACCAAGAAAAGTCTCACAAACCCTAGTCATGGCTTAAAGAACTAAGCAACAGAATTTTTAGTACATCAAAAGTAAGTATCAAGCAATTCTACAGGGAGAAGCAAGAACAGCACATGCCTCTATGAAAAATTCAAATTAAAAAAAAAAAGAAAAAGAATGGTTGAATACATCCTAGATGAGAAAAGAAACACACTGGATATTCTGGAAGTACCAGCATTACTTGCAATAATTATCCTAACAGCTACAATTTAGCAACCAGTTCTTCTGAGCTAAACAGCCTTCACACAGGCCTAGTTACAAGTCTAAGAGAATGGCATTTGAAAAGCAATTCTCCTCTCCATGTTACAAACAGACACTAAAAGCAGATATTTAACTGATGAGTTCAGTCTGACTCTCATATTAAATGGAGAATTTCTGGGAGCAGGGACTTCAGTGCTTTGTGTCATTGCCTGGGGTGACAAATCCCCAGAAGCACCCCTCAAACCACAGCATTATCTGCTGTATGAACAAAAGGGACAAGCTCCTGCTCCAAAAACCTTACAACCCAAGCTGAACCAAACTAACCAGATCCTGTCTCAAACAAGAGGAAAGATTTCCCCATCAGCTTCCATTTCTCAGTTGACTTTACTACCAAATAACATTGTCTTGAGGATATAAAATAAAGAAGAGGGCTTTCAAATGCCAATTTTCATCATCCTAGCTCAGACCAGAGCAAACAGAAAGTATAAAAGGATGTGAGGCATTTCAGGCTGTACCAGGTAGCTGTTGTATAATAATCACCAACAGGATTAAGGCTTCCAAAGCACTCTAAGTTTTTATGGTGTTCAATAAACAGCAAAAAGGCTGTGATGAGGTTGAAGTAGAAATGAGGAGACAAACAACCCTAAGAGAATTCACAGCTAGAGGAGAAAGCTGAGATTCACCACTGCATTGCCCCTGCCCCAGCCAGGACCTGATCCACCCTCTGCACTGGATTCAGCACATCCCAAAGCCAAAGTGTTTCAGAAGACTTTAGCAATGTCTTGCATCAGTGATTCACACAAATAAGATCCTCTATTCCCACTCAGCAATCCCTAAAGCCAAAAGCTGCTAAACCTTTACTGTATCAACCAGAGCAGCCTCCAGGTCTGGCCTCCTCAGCCAAACAACACAAAAAGCAACAGAGTCCCTCCTCAGAACTCCAGCATACAGCAGTGATCAAACAGAACAATCCTCTGCTTTTTCCAAATTCCTTATTGTTTCCATGGCTTTCCCCTCAAGATAACAAAAAGTTTCACTTGTAACTGATGTACTTACATGATCTTAACACAAGACTGCCAAGCTGCAAGTGTAGAAATCAGTACTGCCTAGAATGAAAACTAACAAAATTGGGAGATTTCTGATCTCTCTGGACAAGTTCCAAGAGCTAGCAGGTATACCAAGCTTCACTAAATATTTATATATATAGTTTGTACCTACATCAGCCCTGTGAAGTTGCTGGCTGTTTTTCCTAGGTGCTCCTCCAGAATGACAAACATCACTCACGTGTCAGCTCATGGGGTTTTCAGGTAGCCACTGAAGTGATTTTTGAAGACTGGAAGATTCATTCTACAGTTTAAGAGACCCTAGAAGTAATTCTACTGGAAACCTGAGTGTGACAAGATGATGTGAATGCAGAGAAGCTCAGAGTGGTGAAGAAGTGGCAAAGACAAAAATGACACAGCAACTCTCAGGTACATCACAGCATGATGCAAAGAGCTTCACTGCAATGTCTGTGCTAGACCAAAAGAAGACATACCCAGGAGTGCAGTGAGTTTGGGAAGCAAACCAACATGGACCATTTTACTTCTCAGGCCTGTGTCAAAGGAGAGATTCAGCAAGAGTCGAAGAGTGATATTCAGCAGGTCTTCATGTTCACATGGCACCATTTTCACAAGTTTTTCAATAATATCCATTTCAACCTGTATTTCAAGGGAAAAAAAACCAAAACCATAATCCATCCAAACTTACTCTGGCTTCAATATCCAATTTGTAGCCATAACAGTGACTGTTACTGCAGTTTCATCTGAAGTAGTTTCACTTATGCCTTTGTGGTTGAAATCTTCTAGATTGGCTTACTGGGAAACATTGATTAAAAAAGGCTTTGAACTAACAAGTTCATATGTCTTGGAAACATTCCTCACTGTTGGAATACTGCAGGAATGTGGTAAAGACATCACCTGCAAAACTAGATTGGGGTAAGCAAACTCATTTAAACTTTAACACATGCAATCCTGCAGCAACTGCCAGTGGAGTCAAAGATAGACCCAACCAAGAAAGACAGAAAATTGGCACCCAAAAACAATTTGAGACCTTTCATTATGAATTTTAAATCAACCCCTAGCCAGAAGTGTGCATGTGCTCTCAGAAGAGGCATGCCCTCCTACATGTCAATTTAATAAAAGCATGAAAGTCATCTTGAAACATGTATCACTTTCAAATTAAAAAGTGGAATCCAGAAACTGAGAAGTGCTATCAGTTCCTGAGATCATGTTCACTTCACCAGCCAGAAAACACATCTGAACTGGCAAGACTTCAGAAAGTTTTTATCATGTTTTAAGCAACATTTCTGAGCTTTTATTTGACACAATCTTTTAAATGCATTCTTTTTTTTTTTTTTTTTTTGTTTCCCAGATCCTTCTTTGGCCAGAAGGAGGCACATAAAATTACTTGGCATTCTTCAGACTTCTCCATGCACATTACTAGTCTGGTTATAAATAGACACTGAATGAACACTAAGAAAAGAAACTACAGCTCTCCCCACACAGCCCAGTGCAATAATCAACAACTGCCTGGACAGCTTTGATCAGAAACAATCAGATAGCAACAACTCCTACCTCACTGCTTTGAATTTCATATGGCCCTGCAACAGCCAAGGAAAGAATGTGCTATAAATACACATGGATTATTCACTGGTACTCAGAATCAGGTGCTGAACAACTAATCTTGGTTCATTTTGCCTTGGACAGTTTTGTATTACTGCCCAATACAAATATCAGAACTTTTCCTTCACTGGCAGCTTTCCTTAATAATACCATGGAGAAAAAAGCATCATCTTTATTATCAGTAAGGAATGCTCACACAGCTGACCTGAAGCACACCAACATTTCCAAAATTGTTAGAACATTCTGAAATCCAATTAATTCAACAACTTTGTTTATCTTTCCAGTAAATCAGGAGGAATGGGGAAAGTGTGCCAGCAAATCAGTGGGCTGGAGAGCTAATTCTTATTTTTCTAACCAAGTCCCATATATAAATAAGGGAGATACTTCTTGTCTGCAGTGTTCAGTGCACATGCATGCAAAGGTCCAGTTAATTCACTGCTGCTTTTACACAGATCTTTTCACCTCACAATCTCTGTATACCCTCCATCTCAGATTACCTCTTGTATAAAGATAATGTATCATTTTCATCTAATTAATTGAAATAGAGGCATAAAGGTGAAGTCAAGTATCTAGTAAAGTATAAGTACAAGAGGTACTTGGCTAGAGTTTGAAGTCACAAAACAAATTATGCTACAATTTCAGAAGTGTAAGACTTCACAAAAAAAAATTATGAAGAATAACTGCCTCCAGTTCTTAGGAGGAAGGAACCAAACTGACACAGGAAATAAATAAACGAGAATAAAGAGAAAAAATATCTCTCTTCCCAAGTCAATACATGGCAGAAACAACAATATGTTGTCACAAGAGTATAGTCTGGGGGCAGAGTCATGGGTATCCCCATAAGTGGGGATAAAACAAGACTCTGAGGTGCTGAATTCAAAATCTGGAATTTTGTGGACCATATTTTGCATCATATTCTCTATTTGAGATTTCCTCAAATGTGTTTGCAGTAGGTTATGACTGGATGTTGTGCTTTTCTTGCACTCATTTTACTTGTAACAAAACAGAATAATCAGTGATAGAGATACTCAGTGTGAAAACAGAGATGTTTCCCTCTTCCCTCCAACCACACAAAGTTTTCAGATCTCCAACCTTCCCAGCATTCAGTGGAGTGCTACAAGCCTCACCATATCATTTTTGTTCTCCATGAAAATGCTGAGTTTCTTCAGGAAGGTCACAACGAGGATGAGCAGCTCAAAATTATCGCGGTCCAGCGCTTTCACCAGCATGTGCACAATGTTCTTGTTCCTCATCTTCAGCTCAATGCGCGTGTCCTCAGCCAGGTTGAGCAGCAGGTAAATGGCAACTGGCAAAGGTCAACACAAATCACACCAACAGATCACACCCAACACAACAAATCTCTATTTATACTTGAAGTGCTGAAGACAAGACTTTCAGAAGCATTTTGCTCCCTTTTCAATGCATTTTGAAGGAAAGTGCCAGTGAATGCCTTTTTTTGGCCTCTTTAAGAAGCATTAAGAACATTAATTCTAATTGTGGCTCTGAAAAAAATTAGAATTATGATAACTAGAAGCTTTTTATGTTGTGCGATTTGTGTTTTTTAAAATTTCAATTCCAACAGGAAGCAGTAAAAAGCCCCTCTCAGGAAAGGTTTACCACTCGGATCATTTCAATCTAACATGAAGAGTATTTTAATACAAAAACTGAGATAGAATGAAATCTATTCAAAGAGTCAGATACAAGCAAAATTAGGTAAATTTTAAAAAATTTCAAATACCCAACTCCTCCCAAACCAATATAATAAGCAAAGAAGAGTGGATCACTTTTGCTTTTCTACTGACAAACGGTTTTTAAAATTATTAATAATGTCAAACAATCTGATTAAGTATTTGTCTTTTCCCAGTTCTTGGGCAACACTCTTCCATACTCATCCATGTTTAAGACATCCTGGTTGTAAAAAGAATCCCAGAGGATCCCTCAGCCATGTTTACCAACAAGAAAATAATTTGCTATTTGGATTTGGTACCTCTAAGCAGCTGCTCCTGCTTGACAACCAGCCCTTTGTATTTCTTGTAAGTTTTCTCATAGTCCTTTTTCAGGGTTTGATTTTCAGGATCTTCATCACGTGAATTAGAGAAGTTAAGGAGTTCAGAGAAAAGTGATGCAGGCTAGGTGACAATTGTCCTGGAAAGTGTTTCTCAATCACCAGTGAAAAGCAAGGGATCTATGGAATACCCAGTGTCAAAACTCTCCCTCACACCTGCAATCCAGGCCAGGATATTTTACACCCTACTAAGCAGCACAGATGTTCTAAGACATACTGCTGATAAAAGACAATATTTTTTTTCTTGTGCTGCTTTAGCAGCTTCAGCTTAACCTCTTCCACATCCCAAAATCTTCACTTTTGGTCTTTCTCATATCTGCAATTATATTTTTGCACTTTCTGGTAAATTCTACTGCTTTCACAGAAGGTGTTGTGCACTCATCTTGTGTAACTCAACAACAAGACAAGTCAGAAGCCATCAGGCTACAGCAGAATATCAAAAGGATATCAGTTTTCTTCTTTTTAGCAAGTTCTTCCTGCCAAAGCTCATGTCTCTTCAGTTCATGGTCTATGATATTCATACACAGAGCTCCAATTTTGTAATGTGTGATTATCCCATGAAACTGAGAGAAACTACATTGAAGAAATAATACTTGTGAGGAATAAAGGCCAACAACTCCATATCTACTGTGACATCTATGGTAGTAATAGTGCACCACATCAAATATTAAAAAAGGTATTTACAGTCTACCCCATTAAAGCACTTTCCTATTGGAAAATTATTTCAAAACAAGAACAATCCCTGCAAACATGAATATTTTCTCAACTTGTAGAAAAATAAGGAATAGTTTGTTGATCCAGATCAAAATAAAAACACATTTCAATTTTTATGCATAAAGGAAAAGATTTTCCCCTCAGCCCTGCCTTCCATTCTGCAAGTGCTTCAGAGCACTCTCCTCATCAAAAATAGAGACCTAAAATCAAGGTAAATGCAATTTCTGCTTGAATTATTTCTAGGCAGGGTATGCAGAAACACTGGCATAGCTAAATAAGAGCAAGTGCTCACTTCAGTTTTAAACAGTTTCCTCCCTTAGGTGTGCAGATGGAAATTAGAGGTGGCAGCTCAGCCACCTTTCATTTCTGACACAAAGCTGAGTCAATCTTTACTAGCTTCTTCCCAGCTCCCTTACAAACTGCCTCACCACGAGAGTTCTTTTTGTTATAAGTGATAAAACTGAGGCACAAGCATGTTTCTGTCTGTTCTTCCTGTTTCAGTGAAGTTTTGTAGCACAGAGCAATAAACAAATGAAAAGCCACTAAGCAGAGCTACATTCTTTATGTTCCTAAATCCAGGGACTCTGCACTCACCTTGAAAAGCAGAAGAAAATGTAAATTATATTGGTAGCCAGTTCAATGCTTTGTTTCCAGTCTTCCCTCAGCACTCTGGCCAATGCACCCAGGGCAGTTTCTGAAGTGAAACAAGATTTAGAGAAGCATCAGCATTTTGGGTCCCTCCTTCTTAGCTTGTGAGCCTCAGAATTTGAAAACACGTATCAGTTTTCTAGTGGAACACTCTCACAGGTGTCTCACTTTAACAGGCAGCACTGCTCACCAGTTCTGTTTGGAGGCAGTACCAGAGAGTGCCCTGGGTGGTCAGCATGTCTCAAGCCCCAAGAAGCAGCAGCATGGAAGGAAAGTGCAACCAAACACTGAATTCATCTCAAAACTACCACTAACCTTCAGATTCTGTGGCCTCTGCCAGCTCTGTGCTCCATATTACATCGTGTCCCCCGACTAAAACATTACAATTTTCACTTTCAAATCCCCTTTAAATTCTGCCTGGACAGACAATATTTCTCATCCCTCTTTCCATTTATTTTCCCCCGTGAATCCACTTCATATTATTTAATAATTTGGTTGCTCCTTGTCTTATTTAATTTCACTTTTCCAGTCATGCTCCCCTAGCTTGTCTCTATTCATGTTACACCACGTTCCATGATCACAAAAGCAGCAACTGGGAACTTGAAGCACTAAATATTTTCAACAACTCTTAGGGACAAGCCATTATTTCATGGCTCACCATTCCCATCCCACCCCATCTTCCATGGCGACACAGCAAGATGGGCATGTACTGAAGTCATCAATACATGAGGGTATAAGGGCTCAGCAAAGAGACAAAAAGGGCAAGGAAAGAAAAGAAAAAAATTAACTCATGTCAGCTTGCAAATTCTCTTTTCAAGGCAAGTTCCCTGATCTACTGAATATACCAATACATTCCCATCTCCAGCAATAATGCCAGCTGGAGTTAATTGAGCATCAAAATAACCAGGATCAGAAAAAAAAAGCTGAAGCCTCTAGAGGCCAGGAGGATTTCAGTATTAGCCTCACCTAAGACCAGTGTGAGCAGAGAAACCCAACAGAGCTTTGATGGTCACCTTATTATATACAGAGAAACAGAGCCTAGCAAACTAAAGACAATCCCAAATTAAAGGTGAGCTACTTTTCCCTGGACACAAATGAACAGCACATTAAGAGAAATTACCATTGGGTTTTAAAATTACCATTTATAAGCAGCTCTTCCAAATTATCAGGATTCCTGGCCAGCTGCAGGATGAGGGCAGAGCCCCGCACCTTGTCAGGAATGTCCTCGTACAGTAACTCAATGTACTCATCCATGTCATTGATGTTGGCAACTTCATCAATCTGAAAGCAGTCAGAGCAAGGCTTTCACTGAGAGACAGGGTAAATCAACACCAGCAATCACAATTCAGCTGTCACACCAAAGGGCACTCAGCTTCTGAGCACAGATCTTAGGCAAAAATTAAATACAAGTTGAAAAATCCCAACACATGCAGAATGACTGCCAATGAACAGCAGGAAATCTGAGGAGATGTAATTCCTAAAAATCAAAGGATGCTCAGGATGTCTCGTCTGATGTTGCAGTCCTCACTGTCAGTCCTGCTGTGTGCTATACTTGGAAGGGTAAGTATGCAAGTCAAATATTTTACCCTTTTTGGAGATAATTTTTTCCCATTGTGCAGTATTTCCAAACCAAGTTCTTTGTTTAAAAATCAAGAAGCAAAAAACCCACAAGAATTCAGCATTTCCTCTCCCCTCCTCCCTTTTGTAACTGCCTAGTGAAGTAGCAAACAAAGTTTGCATTTCTCTTTTAACATCAATACTTACCTCTGTTCCTTCAAATGGGGGTGGATCTTTTGGCTTGCTGGTTTTCTCTTTCCTTTCTACAAAGAAAAAGATGTGGGTGCAGTTAAGTTACACACAAACACAGATCAAACACATGTCCAGTGTTCTCATAATGAGTTAAATCAAGGTCAAAGTCCTTTGTGTCCAGCTGACCTACCACACTAACACAGGTTTCTGAACCCCAACAGTCCTAGGGAGTACAACAAATCCTCAGCTGCCTTTTGACAACTCAGTCTAAATGATCAGTGATAACCTTATCAGCTGGGGAGATAGAGAGTAATAAACCTTAGAACAAGCCCAGAGTGACAACACTCACTCCCACAGTGAGACATCAGCAGCTTTGATTCTGCTTGTGCCCTGTGACACACCCAGACACAGAAATGCAGAGTGAAAGAGGGTTAAACATACAAAGCTCTTACAATCAAACCCCATATATCACATAAATCTTCATTTTAAATTTGTCTCACTAAGAATCCAGTTTGAAAACAAAGCTTACCATTTCAGGGCTGCAAGAAACCTGGGTAACCACAAAGTAATGTAGAATCTTATGTTAAATATTCAACTGTGCCCTGAGCAGAAAGTTGAAGGTGAACTTAAGACATAAATAGGAGCACCAAGACGGAACTTTAGATGATGAGATGAGAGAAATACCCCAGGCATCAAAGCTTGTCAGGCTCTGAGAGTTTCCAGCTTTACACACAGCCCAAACTGAGCCTAGGCACCCTCTGTACCCTTGCAGGAGGTGATGGCAGAGATCTTTCTAGAAAGATGCCCTTAGAGACTTTTGATGTTACTGTAAGTGCAGATTCAATATGATGAGGCTTCACCCAATAGCCAAATCTGTACCTCTCAAGTCCTGCTAAAGCACAAGGCAGCCATTAAGAAGCATCAATACTAAATGTAACCAAATAATACAATAAATTTGGTTATTTAAAAGGTAATTTCCTGGCTTCAAGATCATAATTGTTTCCAAGGGTGATAAAGATAGTTTTCCTACTGTGACATCCCCAGAGAATTGGTACATCAGGCACACTGGGCTCTCAGCCAGGAACACCTCAGTATTTGCTCAAGGCTGAGGCACCCCAGTCCCAAGCTGCTTTGTTTCTGTATTTTTTACCTTTCCCTGCTGAGGAATCCCTGCGGTTCTGCAGGTAGTACAGCAGCTGCTCCACTTCTCCAAGCTTGGAGGGGTGAATGAGCTTGCATTCTTCAACAACCTTTCGAGCCAGGGAACCAATGTCTGTGTTTGCATTGAGGCTCTTCAGCCGAATTCTGCAACACAGACAAGTCTCTTTTCAGTTTTTACATTTTTTACCTTCAGCCTTTTGATTATGTTTATACAATCAAGAATTTCTCAAAGCAGAAATGATCCTGATACACCCAGTGCCCGTGCCTTTCATGTCCAAGTGGTGCCTCTGAACTCCAAATGCCAAGCAAGTGTCAAACAGGTTTGGTGGAGTGTAACTGTTCACGAGCTGACAAGCAGCAACATTAAAGGCAGCTGGCTGAACAGATCCCTTACAGCCATCTTAGATATAAAAGACAGGAATTGATTTGGATATATCCCATAAAAAGGGCACAGGACCACAAAGGAGCATTGGAGACAAAAAAAGTCCCAAATGAGAGACAGTTCTGGGTGTTTGTCTGCACAGAAAGGTTCTTTTGCAGTGCCAGGAGTCTCCCACAGCATCTAGGTCCACAAGCAAAGAGCAGGAAGAAATCTCTGTGGGCATTAACAACAGGCTGGAAAAAAAAGGAATTCCACCATCATGAAGATGCAAATTATGTTGATTCATTTGACAACACAAGTATGCTTCTGATATTTTCAAAAATTTGAGACAATTTAAAGATTCTCTTTTCTTTTTCCCTCAACACGCACTCACACAGGCAGCCACTTCAGTTCAAATTTTCAAAGAGAAATCAGTACAGAGATAAAACCCCCCTAGAACAGATCCAACCTTGCAGCTTGAAAGATGAAGTTAGGATAGTTCTCTCAGCTTTTCCAGTGGGGAATATTTTAATGGTCTTGAAAGAAATTAACCAGGCAAAATTGAAATGCAGATAAAGCAGTGAATTCACTGGTTGGGCAGATCAAAACAACAGGAGAGGCAACAGCTGGAGCACAAGGCAGTCAGGAGGTTCAATGGTACTCCTTGCTCCAACATGAACTACCATTTGCACAGGAAACAATCACTTTTCTCTGCCTCAAATACCCATCATGTAAAACAGGAGTCATCATTTTCCTTTACAAAACACCTTAAAGGACATGGCTGAAAAGCAGTTCACAACGTGTGTTTTAGATGTTAACCTTCCCAGGCACGTGTTATTTCCTGGCTTTGAAACCCTCTGCTGGTCCAGCACTAAGTTCCACAAAGATTATAAACTACAATTCCTCAGAGTAGGTGGTACTCTGAGTTATTGAATACAGAAAAATTGAAATAAAATATCAGAGCTTGCTATGACCTTACATTTTCTGACATTCCTTGCGTTCCCCCAGCATGGGGTCTCCCAGCTCTCCCAGAATTGTTGCTTCCACTTCATAATGGACAATGAGGGCTTTCTCAGATGGATGCACATCTATGTTACCTCCTTTTACCTTCCTGCCATAAAGGGAAAAAAACTGATTAAAGGAGAAGCTCAGAAAACACACCAGAGCAGAAATCAGGTACCTGTAAGCAGGCCCTAAACCCAAGTAGGGTTTGGGTTGCATATTCCATCCCACAGAAATGTACCAAAGCCTGGTGCTAGTGGCATATTCTTGGCTACTACCTGGAGTACAGAAATATCCAAGCCACTGGTAAAGCCTTACTCACAGAAATGAGGAAAGAAATCAAAGTTATCCTATTCCTTATCAACATAATGAATAAAAAGATGCATTTCACCAAGCAGGTGAATTTCCCAGTTGGTTCCCCATTACCCTGTCAGTATAGACAAATCTTTGTCTAATGCCCTTCACTTAGTGCAGTCCTCTACAAATGGAATTTTATTGTCATTCTCTTGGCTGACTCCTAGTAGTTACAATTCTCAGAAACTGAATTACAAATCATTTGTATTTCAATTGAACTACTCTCTCTTGAAACACAAACCTGTTCTTCACCTCATTGTGCCTGCTGCCAGGCTTGAGGGATTACAAAAACCAACAGCTGCCCTCAAAAGAAATAAATCCTGTCTGCCTGCTTTTCTACAGCTACAGATTCTTGGGAGAAGCATTCTGGGCTATGCCAGTGCCAAAAGGGCCTGTCCTGCTCTCTCCTCCTTTGTGCCAACAATTCTGTGTCCATGCAGATCCAAGCTCCTGAGGAAAGGCTCACATGGATGAAGACACACCTCATTTCTGTTTTCAAGCAGTGGCAGAACACATCCAGAGAATACAGGGACCTTTTTTTATTTATTGGTAAAGATGACACTTGTCCCTTGTCCACTTGGTACAGTCATGCCATAAACCAGACTGCTAAACACTGCAAATTAAAACCACCTCCAAAATAGGTTTGGCTTTTGGGATGTGGAGTGGGTTTTTTATTGGGTGTTCAGGTTTTTAGACAGATCATGTCCTTAAAGAGAATTACAAGTGGCTTCACCAGTGGTCATATCAGCATCTAGGAGATAGCAATGACATTGGGTCAATTAGATCAGGAAAAGTTACTTTAACCTCATAAAGTTGGAAATGTCAGCAAATCCAGATGCAGCCTGTGCTGTAACCACTGTCAGCAGAAAATGTTTGAAATGTGTCTCCATCTAATCAGCTACCCTGGTGTCCAGTTCTCCTTCTGCAGGTACAGTTGCAAAAAATACCTTTGTCTTGAGATACAGCTGCCCAAAAACCCCACAAACCACAGAAAGGTCAGGAAAGCAAGAGTCTAGTTCAACTACCAGCCTTGCAAGGATATAAAGCTACACAGAGCAAACAAAAATATCTCCCTAGTGCTGGAGGATAACATTTTCCATGAAAGCATGGCAAAACTCCCTTTATGACTTGAGATTTTTTGAAGAGACTTGGGTTTGTTCCCCTTTAGCAGTACCTTGAAGCAGGTGTTAATGTTTTTCTTTCAGAGGGATAGATGGGTAAACTGAAGAACTTAGAGCTGCAGAGACTTTCTGCCCTCTCACACTGACACACACCCTCTCTGCCTGAGCTATTTCTGAGCTCATGAAGTCACAAATCAACACACAGCCAAGCTCCCTCTCTGAAAATCCTGCCTTGTGAAATGCTTGAGGACCTGCACTAAAATGTACTCCCCAGCCACTGAAATTGGTTTTTATTTGGAAAACACTGCATTCAGACTGTCAGCATCACAAGGGAAATCTTCATTTACAAAAAAAAAATTCCCTCAAATCTACAAACACATTTACTGATTTTCTACACACCCTGGGTCTGTAAATCACCTCATAAAACATTTGAAACTGCAAATATTATAATGAGTAGAAACAGCAATGCACTGGGGAGCTCTCAAGCACATCAGCCTGTCCTTTCACTCCACTGCTTGCTTTGTCAACAAGAACCCAGCTCAGTTCAAGCTTTAAAGAGGAAGGCATTTTTCCACAGACAAAAGCTGCAAGTTGAGCTCACATAGCCAAAGCTGGAGTGTTAATATCCTTTATTAACTGATTCCTTTAGAGGGAAAAAGCAAAAGCAAACTGTCCTAATGAAAAGTGGCACAAAGCACACGTGGGTAAGGCTGAAAATTCAATAACAGATCCCAGCAAGTGAGGCTGGGTGGGAGGGGGAGTGCCCATGCAGGGTGACAAAGGGGAACAGGGAGCACAGGAGCACCAGACTTGCACACCACAAACAGCACAGCAGGTAGGTTTGGGTTTGTGCCCCCAAAAAAGAGAAACAACTACACCTGTTGCAGGGATGACTACAAAAAAAAAAAAAAAAAGATTCCCAGATTCCTACAAAATGGCACAAACTGAACAGGTAAGGCTAAAAAAACAGGCACTGCTCTAAAGTTACAGCTGTTGATTTAATTAAGGGCGGCATTTGATTTTTTTACCCATCATGACATTGCTATGACAGAACTGACATGCAAAGATTATCAAGAGGGGTTTTTCCCCTGCACTGTTTACAACTATGGAGCTTAATACGTGGCATGTAAGGGGAAAAAAAGTAAAATCTGGACAGTCTAAACAGGAAATTCTGCAAATACTAATGAATGGAAAGGAAGTAAAAAACAAGAGCAGGAACTCCTTAGGATTCAAGACAGGATGGATAAAATCACCAGCATGACAGGAGGAAGCGACACTGTCCATGTGTGACACAGGACATCTGCACAGAGGCCTGGATGAGCTGGCATCTTTTGGGATTGATTCACTTTTGCTCTGAAACAGCTGACAGAGATCCAAGAGCTGCCAGCTCCCCATTCTTTATGCTGACTGGTCTCACTGCCAAACAGATAAAAGGCACCATTCATTTATCACACCTGCAACACCAAATCCAGATCATACACTTTATACCCCACAGTTACCTCTTCGATTCAATACACCTGTCCTGCCCAATCTGCCAGGCCATACTGTTGACACCTCCTCCAGTCTCCCTGCTGCTCCTTGAACCTGGCCTTACTGTCACTTATCCCATCCCTGATCCCCAAAGCAGCCACCTGCACCTAATACACAATGATCCCCTCCACTCATCTCCTAATAGCACCGATTCTCCTCTCAACCTGCGGTCACTTCAGTGCCCCATCCCAAACACACCATAAAATGCCACCACAGCCACCCCCAGGCCAGAGCACCCTCCAAATCCCTCTTTCTCCTCCTCAGCAGCACCCACCCCACCTCTCTGCCCACCCTGCCTTTGTAACCTTCACTCATCTTTAACCTTCCCAGTGCTCATCCGAACCTTGTTCCCAACAGAGTGGGGCAGGCTGAGGGGGGACCGCCCAAACAAATCTGTCTGCCATTCCCTCACCCATCTCACCACAGCTTCCAAACCAGCCCCTCCTCACTCGCCATACCTCCACCCACCTCATCATCACTCTCCCAAAACACTCTCCATTGTCACCTCCCCAATCTCCCATCCATCCCCAAGCCAGTCCTCACTACAGCCTCAGCCTCACACTCCACCCCTCAGCTCCCCCATATTCCCCTGCAAACACCCCGCAACACCTGTGCCGCGCACCCCACAACCTGACACACTCCATCCACCCTCGGCACAACCTGCCGCGCCCCAACCGCCGCGACATCCCCCCCCCCCTCACCCCGTTCAGCCCCCCGGCACGAACCGCCGCCCCTCGTGCCCGTCCTCCCCGGTTACCTCTTGAGGTACCGGGCGTCCTCGCTCTGCATGGCGGCGGTGAGGGGCGGTCAGGGGCCGTGAGGGGATGGGATGGGATTGGCGGGGGGGGCGGCCCGGGCAGGGCGCGGCCCCACGCGCGCGGTGCTCGTTACCAGGGAGAGCGCGAGCCCCGCCCCGCGCATGCGCACCGCCCTCACCGGCCCCCGGCCCCGCCTTTGCCTCCCCGTTAGCGCCCCCTGCAGGCGCGGGGGAGGCGCTGCCCCGCCCGCTGCCGGCCCCTCACGGCACGGAACGGCCCGACTTGAAATAAAGAAGCTGTGTTGTTGGGTTTTTTTTATCCCCTAAATATGTACACAAAATTTAAGTTTATAAGCTTGAGAAACGCTGCGTTTCTGGGCGTCGATATGATTCAGATTATTAGACTTGGCCGAGAGTGAAAGGTGACCTGACCTCAGGACAGTAGAGGCAGGTGGATTGGTGCCCTTTACTTAGTCTTCTGTATTTGTTTAATTCCTAATTATTTTGAAATTGATATCACTGCCACCTCCTGCCAAATCATCAAATTTTTTTTTATTAATCAGCACGTTGTTTTTGGTCAGAGGTGCTTCAGCACACTGCCAGCAGCAGGACCTGAGGGAGAATCTCAGAACATTTACAGAATCACAGCACGGCTGGGTTGGACAATCTCCAGGACAATCTCTGGAGATTGTCCTGGCCAAGGCAGAGTCACCCCAAGCAGGTGACACAGGGATTCATCCAGGTGGGTTTGGGAAGCCACATTGTGAAATGGTTTTTCAATTACTCAGCAAGTTGGTTTTGGTGAGAGGTACTTCAGCAGGAGTGAGGGAGAATCTCAGAATGTTCACAGAATCGCAGCACAGCTGGGTTGGAAGGGACCTCTGGAGATCATCCTGGCCAAGGCAGGGTCACCCAGAGCAGGTGACACAGGGATGCACCCAGGTGGGTTTGGGATGCCACATTGTGAAATGGTTTTTCAGTTAATCAGCAAGTTGTTTTTGGTGAGAGGTGCTTCAGGACACTGTGAGCAGCAGGAGTGAGGGAGAATCTCTGAACGTTCACAGAATCACAGCACGGCTGGGTTGGAAGGGGCCTCTGGAGATCGTCCTGGCCAAGGCAGGATCACCCAGAGCAGGTGACACAGGGATGCATCCAGAGGGGGTTTGGGATGCCTCCAGAGAGGGAGAGTCTGCCACCTTCCTGGACAGCCTCCTCTGTCATGGTCAGTGCAAAGAACATGCTCATGTTGAGGTGGAATTTCTTGTGTTTCCATTCATGGCTCTTGCACCTCACCCTGCCACTGGACAGCACCAAAAATGGTCTGGCACCATCCTCCTGGCACCTCCCTGGAGACATTTCCATGGATGGATGAGATCACCTTTCTTCTCCAGACTAAGCTGTTCCAACTCCTGCAGTCTCTCCTCATCCAGAGATGCTCCACACCCTGTGTGCAGTATTTAGAGGAGGATTGAAGAAAAGCTCTTGTGGTGTCCTGCCCCATTATGGCCACCTGAGCTGGCCACTGGTCCTCAGCACCAGCTCCTTGCCTTGGTGTTTTGGAACATAATCTTCATTTTGGGTCACTGACACACAGAGGGCACGGGGATGACACAGCTGTAGCTCCAGACTCAAGCAAAGTGGCTGCAAATCCAAAATTGTGTTGGGAAAGTTACATAGTCAGCCAGCAACTGAATTTTCTGTCCCTTTATCTTGTCTCCAAGCCACTCTAAAGATCAAACAAACAGCATCATATCCCAGAGGTCTCAGAAAGAATCTTAATGGGCTGCAGTTTTCTGGAGTACTCTTTACAACTGAAAATTCTGTCTGCCCAGAGTCATAGGGGTAATGCAGAAATAAATAATAGACAACAAAGCTTTTGGGTTTTATTGTGGCAAAATATTAAGAATAAATACTTAATGTCTACTAATCCCATTAAAGACTAAGAATTTTTATACTTTCATAATCTGTAACAGAGCAGAATAAAATATTTTGTGGAATCCACACAGTGCCTGCCTTTGTTTTAACAGAAAATGGAAAAAGAAAGTACCCTGTGAAATATTAAGTGCTACCTTTGTGCAATGAATTTACAAAACATTGCTAGAACATAACACCCTTGTTACTTATTCTATTTTTATCCCAGTAATATTGTCATAAAGAAAAAAAATGCAGATACCTAATCAGAATGATAATTCTCCAGTGATTTCAGCAGCTCTCCTGATAAGCATAAGCCAAACATTAAACTCTGAAGCCATATAAATAATCTGATACTTACTGAGCACTAAATACCTGACAGTCTTAATTTATTTCACTATGAATTTATTTTATTTATCTGGTCACATATGCCTGTGAATGGAGTCTAGTTTTAGACATCTATAGAAAACAGGCCAAAGATTACAAGACGAGAATGATAGAGAAGAACGTGAGAACTGAAAAAATACAAGTAAAGGAACATTTATTCCAGTTCAGTGTGCCATGATGTTTGGGCTAAAACTTTGTCAGGACCTGAAGGGACAGCAGAGGCTGGAAGGTGTCCAAGTGAAATAAATATCTCAGCTTTGTAGGTATTGAGCCAACAAAGATCAGACAATTCTGCCAAATCAAACAATTCTGTTGGGCAGTGACAACCAGTTGATGCTGAGTTTAGAAAACCACGTGGCACAAACACCAAACCCCAGGTACTGCATGGTGGATTCTTCTAAAATTCAACTGCAGAGCACCTGTTGCCTGAGGTTTTGTTCTGCAGCCTTGCCCTGAGCTTCTGATGTTGTTTTGCATAATTCCTTACATCCTTGTCCTTACAGTGTGATGAAATTTATGGGATGGGACTCTGGATATCTCCTTACCTGCATAGTAGAAGTAAGAGGAGGAAAGAGAGGGTGGAATTTGAGGCAGAAGGGTGATCAAGTTGCAAGCAGAAGCTGGAATATACAAGATTTTTGTGTTTGTTCTTTTGTTTGGGTGTTTTTGGGCTAGTTTGGCTTTTTTTGTAGAATAGTTGCAAGAAATATGGTTCTGGAGTCAGCTTGAAGAAGAGATTTTGGTTTTTTTTTGTAGTGAGGGAATATAAAGGAGGGTGTGAAAGAGCTTGGGAGCTGCAGAGAAAATCAGAATAGGAAGAGAATGGTGGGGAAAGCTGCATGAGAAGAAGCTGGGCAAGTAGAAGCTGGAATATACAAGATTTTTGTGTTTGTTCTTTTGTTTAGGTGGTTTTGAGGTAGTTTGGCTTTTTTCATAGAACAGTTGCAAGAAATATGGTTCTGGAGTCAGCCTGAAGGAGAGATTTTTTTTTTTGTAGTGAAGGAATATAAAGGAGGGTATGAAAGAGCTTGGGGGCTGCAGAGAAAATCAGAATAGGAAGAGAATGGTGGAGAAAGATGAGGAGAAGCTGGGCAAGAGGAGTGAAGCAGGTGGGTAAAAATCAAGAGGAAAGAACTGTGGAGTGCTCCCATATGGTACATGTATCTATGTGTGTGTATGTATATATATATAGATTTATGGTAGAATAAGCACAGATGGAGTAACTAACAATATTTTTATGCAAAAACTCCCCAAATTTATATTTTTTTGGTCAAGCTGCAGACATGTTATGAAAATACACTGAGTGACACTGGAGCAACACCCACCACATTGCCTCATGGTAAACTTGATTTTATTTCTTCCTGTTTGTTTTCTTAGTATTGAAAAGTACTGATGCTAGCAGTGATTTTTAAGCCTAAAAAGGTGTTTCCATTGTCTTCAATAAACCTTTGGTATATGACAAGACTGCATGTTGAAAATGCATTGGGATTGGTTTCTTTTACATCACTGTAAAAACAAAATTCAACCAAAATAGTCAACATTGTTTTTCTGTAGCAAATGGAATGGTTGAAATGTAATAGACTAATCTCTTGTGTCTTGTGGAGTTGAGAAACCAAAGCAGCCCTGAAATTTGTAATCTATCCATCAAAGATTGCATCTTGCTCTCAGGAAAAAAAGAATCCAGAGAAAAAATAATGAATTTGGGACATTTGCCTGGACCTTGTAAAATGAACTGTGCATAAAACTCCTGAAGAGGCTTTATTAGCTAAAATAAGGTGGAGCACTCTGAAAGGATGACTTCCAGGGAAACATGTTCGGAGATTGGGCTGTGCAGCTCAGTGGGGGATGGAGATGATGCTGTCACACAGGAAGGGACTGAGGAATGGAGGTAATAAACTCTGGGCTTAAAAGTTTATACTGGGAGGAGGAAGTGAAAATAGGCAAAGCAAAATCTGATCTGCAGAGGGAAAGTCTGGCTTAACTCCTCTGGATGGAATTAATCTTGGAGCACAGATCAAGGTGACTCCTGAGTGCCTTTTTGATCAGCAGTGACAGTGATATCTGCATAGGACAAGGTCATTTTCAGTGTGACACGTGATTGTGCTGGCAAATCCTGGCTGCTTTTGTTATTCTTGAATGTGAGACTTCACAAAAATGAGAAGAAGAGAACAAGATCCTTCATAAAGAGCTTGGTTTGTATTTTATAATATATTTAAAATACAAAGTATTTAAAAATATATTTGAAATGCATTTTAAATAGATGAAATATATTATATATAAAAATATGTAAATATATATATAATATAATATATATTATAATTAAATAATAAAAATTACATATATCTTAATATGTATATTTCTATTATTTTTATATTTAAATATATTATACATATATTTTAAATATATTAATATTATGTTATATGGTATGATATGATATGATGTGAAAATATAATAAATGTAATAAATATAATATAATATAATATAATATAATATAATATAATATAATATAATATATATTTAATTATTACACTTATTATATATTTTAATATATTTTTATATATTTATTATTTCTATTTAAGTATATTATAAATATATTTTAAATATATTAATATTATGTGATATATGATATTATGTGATATTATGTGATAAGATATTATATGATATAATTAATTTAATATAACATAACAAGGCATAATAACACTGAGCTAAGTAAATGCATCAATTTTCATCTCATTCAAACCAGGGAAGAAAATTACCTATAGGTTTCCATTGTTTCAGGTATTAAAAGAAACATCTGAAGATGTGAGAAGAAGCAGATCTCTTCATACAGAGTTCACTGTAAAGCAGA